CTATTAGACTATTCTCTCTCTCTCTCTCTCTCTCTCCCTCTGCTTTTTCTTATATATATATTTTTTTCTTTTTTTACTAATTTCTTCCTCGTTCTTTTAGATACGCGACATGCTATATTTTTTATTGAAATATATATATATATATATACATATATATGTATAAATACACGTGATATCTGTTTTTAAATTGAAAAGAGAAAGAGAGATAGAGAGAGAGAGAGAGAGAGAGAGAGAGAGAGAGAAAAAAGAGAAACGCAATTATACTCACGTGGCAAAGTAATAGCAATTCGCGTTGCATGTCTCTTAGCAAGGAACGTAAAAGACTAAAGGGGAAAAGCTGGTCGCAAGAAGAGGTACGCGCAGGCGCCGGATGCGGGGATCGTAGATTAGCGAGCACTCGAGAAGATGGTCTCGATGGTTTATTACCGCAGGAAAATACGCGACTTTAATGGCCGTCTCGCGACCTACGGTAAGTCTTATTGATAAATGCCGACAAAGAGATTACAACGTAGCTTCGGAGGATGTGAATTTGTAACGTTACATATACTCTTTCTTCCTACTTTCTTTTTTCTTTTTTCTTCTCTAGATCGAACACGCATCTTATCTGATAACTGGCTCGATTAACGATTTCCGTTGATCAGCTGAATCAGTACAACTTGTTGCTTAATTAAAATATATATATATATATATAAAAGAAATAAGTTAAGAGATAACAATGAAAAAGAGTTTGTAACAAAATTTTTTCCAAAAGAACCCTTGTAAGACATTCTTGTTTCAATTAATTATATCGATATTACCAAAGTAGATGTAATGGGGAATAATAAAAGATCATCTCTTAGCCCATTTATATCTAATTTCAAACTTGTCGAGATGATCGATCAACAATCCACGTGGGTGTTTACGATAATATCAATAGAAATGTCGAGAGCGCCAATCGTTTTTAAGTAATCGATCCTCCGTCAACGTCTAACCATCGAACCGATCGAGTCATCCCCATTTGCCAACCACCGTTTCCGTTCGACGATTGAAAAGTTCTCGTCGAAAGGAACGGCGATGATTACGATACTAAACAAACCAGTTTAGCGATGGCACGAAAGAGAGGATCGACTTATGAATACGTGAGATAGAGTGAGATAGAGCGAGTAAGAAAAAGAGAATTTCTTTGGCCGCACGCGATATATTCTTTCGTGGTTTCTTTTTACCAAACGAATCACGACGAGGACGACCAGAACGACAACTACGAGGACGAGGACGAGGACGAGGACGAGGACGAGGACGAGAATAAGGATGAGGAACCTTCGAGGAATGTCATTGTCGAGAAGGAAAAATGATATATCGAGTGGGATCGACTCGGTAGTTTCGTTCTTTCGATCCATGAAAGAAGAGAAGAAGAAGAATAAGAAGAAAAGAAAAGAAAGAAAGAAGAAAACGAAGAATAACTTCCGTGTCGATCGCGTAAAGTAAAATCGTACGTAGCTTCGTTCTACCTACGATCTTTATTCCTAAATCTTTATAATTTTACGTCTTCGAATGAGAAAAAGTCAAGGGGAGAGAGATAAAACATATATCACGTTATTTTTTATGAATAAATAAACGAAATTTTGTTTTTTAATGATAACAATGGAATAACGGTACGAGAATAACCATCGAATGATCGAATGATAGATATCGTACAAAGGATAATGGCGGGGGATAAGTTGATGAAAAAAAAAAAAAAAAAAAAAAAAAAAAAGAAAAAGCGAGAGGAAGAAGGAGAAGAAGGAGAAAAAAGACGAAAGAGAAAAAAAAACAAAAAGTAAAATGTCAGTGAAAATTACAAGTCAGCTGTACCAAGTCTGACACAAAGTCCATAAAACGTTCTCCCCCTTTTTCTTCTTCTTTCTCTTTACGCATTTCTTCGTTTCTCTCTTGTCTAACCTTCGAAGCCGCATATTCTCACGCAAAATTTCAATTTCCGGTCCATCGGGAACTGAGCGCACGTAGAAAGTCTGATCGCCGACGTCAATGGCCGGCCTTACGCGTGAAATCATACGTTTCGTTTCTTCTCTTTCTCGTTTTTGCTCTTGCAAATACGAAGGAGACTGTTAACTTCTTTTCTCCTTCTTCTTCGCCAGTTGAATTCATTTCTCTCTTTCTTTATCTCCTCTCCTTTCCGGAGATACACAACAAAGTTGTATTATTAAAAATCAAAACACGAAGGGACTAACACGCGATTCGGTCGGTAGTTTTCTGAATGGAAAGCTTAGCAAACGAACGTTTGAATCACCGATCACAGATGAACAAAAAAGAAAAAAAAAAGAAAAAGCAGAGAGAGAGAGAGAGAGAGAGAAATAAGCAGGATATACGCGCGACGTACGTCACCTGGATTCTCTCGAATCCATACATATATAAATAAATCTCTGGACAAGCTGAATCTATCTCATTGTTGTTTCATGAATATTTAAGCGTATAGCATTATCGTAAAGAATCGTTTCGGCCGAGCGCACGTTTCCCTCGAAACGATCGTGGGAATACCGATCTATTGCTCGATTCATAAAAATTCGAGCGTGGGCATTTGATATAATGAACGAGAAAAAATAAATAAAGAGAGAGAGAGAGAGAGAGAGAGAGATAAAAAAAAAAGGAAGACAGTAAAATTCGATATGTGGGTCAGAAGACAGGTGACTAAATCCTGCGAACCACGCTTCCGTGGATTTCGTATATAATTTAACCATACGCATATACGCATATTCGAATTATCGCATGTTAAGCGTTATAACGAGGGAATTTACGTAAGTCATCGAGAAATTTATAATGACACGTTGGTGGAAAAGAGAAAAAGTAAGAAAAAAAAAGAAAATAAAAGAAAGAAAGGTAGTGGGATCGATGATCAAGTTACTACTATGTATGTAAAACAGCTTGATTTCACGAAAAGTGTTACTTCGAACAAAATATTAATCGAAGTATTCGATTTCGAACGTGACGTAATAGGTGTCCGTGATAAAGTTAAAAGAAGGAAAGAAAAATAATAATAAAAGAACGGAAAAAAAAAAGAAACAAGAAAACGAAGTAAAGAAAGAAACGGAGAAAGAAGATAAGAAGAAAAGTTGGAAGAAAATTTGAAAACTTGTTGTATACCAAAAAGAGAGAGAAGAAGAAAAAAGAAGAAAGAAGAAAAAATGAGAAGAGAAAAAGGAGAGGCAGGAGAAGGTAGACGCGTGCTTGGCACGACGGACGCGTGCACGCGAGAGTGATGCCAGTGGTAGCAAGAGGATAAGAAGGGAAAAGAAGGGAGGTGTGGATGGAGGAAGAAGTAGAAGAAGTAGAAGAAGAAGTAGAAGAAGAAGAAGAAGAGGATAAAGAAGAAGAAGAAGAAGAAGAAGAAGCAGAGGCAAGCGAGCGAGTAAGCAAAAGGGGCCCCTGTCGGAGGCTACCGTGAGAACGAGGCGAGGCCTCGCGTCCCACACGTTGCTCCCTCTCGTACGACGTCAGTACCGTCGTCGGGCCCCCTCGTCGGGCCCCTATGTCGGGCCCATCGGCGAGCCCCTCGGGTAATTCCGTCGGCAGGCGCTGCCGGCGGCACTGCCACTGCCGAGATCGGCACGGGACCCCGGGGCCCGTGCGCGACAGAGACAACGACAGGCGCGAGCCCCACACGCGACTCGCACACGTCCGAGCCGCGAGCGCAAACCGTCTTTTCCTCCTTCTCTTCCTTCTCCTCTTCCTTCTTCTTCTCCTTCCTCCTCTCATCGATGATACCTTTTCTTCCTCTTCCTTTTCCACCTTCCCTTTTGGTCTTCTCACTCTTCTTTCAATCTTTTACATTTTATCTTTGCGAAACTTTTCCTTCGTTAATTATACATTGTTTTAATTTTTTTTTTTTTACTTGCGATAGAAAAAAATAGAGAGAGAGAGAGAGAGAGAGAAAAGGGAGGAAATACGAAAGATAATTTCTATTAAAAAATTAAAATTAATACATAATTTAATACATAATACGTAATTAGCAAACAACAAACTCGAGTATGACTATTCTCAAAATTATATTTCTTCCTCGATTTTAACAATTTTTTAATTACGATAATAATTAAAATATTGAAATTAACGCATAATTATTTCTATCGATTTTATCTCCGTTGTTATCGTTCGCTTGTATTGCTGTTATTGTTGCCACGTCGGTTTTTTTTTTTTTTTAAGTAAGTGAAGAAAAAAGAAAAAAAGAAAAAAAATAGTTACCTTTTACCACTTCTTTTTTTATTTCGTTATATTATTCCTATCAGAAGAAGTATCAGCGCTCTTGATACGACTCAAGTAACATTTATTTTCTATCTCACTTTTTTTCTCTCCCTCTTTTTCGTAGACAACGGCGCTCTTTTATCGTAACCGCGAAGACATATTTTTCCGTCGATTCTCGAAGCCAGACGAATAGCCGGTTCGTGCATAGGTGTAAACCGTGCTATTCTCGTATCGTTCGTGGAAGACATTCCAAGCGAGGCTATATAGGCATCCTCGATAACACGATAGCTGCCTGCTAAACGCGCCGATTTCTTAGCCGACACCGAGAGCAAAGAGATAAAAGCTCGACAATTTTCTTTACGACGTCTTCGTGATTTTTATTTATATATCGTCGACCTATTCGAGAATTCCAAAGCATCTAACTAACCCTCGTTTTAACTACCGGGACACGTTTTGTTTTTGAAATGTTCTTTATCTGTCCATGAGTCATTATCTCAAATTACGATATAACAATACGTTGTTATTGTTATTATATCGTTCACGTGTTCGTAATTTACCTAAATATACATTACTTTAATACCTACTTATACACGATGTTAAAAACTTTTGTCGCGAACGTTTATGCAAGAAAAAAAAAAAAAAAAGAGAAAGAGAGAGAAACAATTTGAAAGAAGAAATGACGCATTTCAAAGACGAAAACGATAATCGCAATGACACGAATGAAAAATAAAAAGATAGAAAGAAAGAAAGAAAGAAAGAAAGAAAAAAAGAAAGAAAGAAAGAAAGAAAGGGAACAACAGTCGCGTAATGTAACGTTTCACACGGGTGACGGAAACTTCTTCGAAGAGGGCGGGTTTTGAGTCAACAAATCGGCCAAGAGAACAGCATTCCCTGTGCTCGTGAGCCGTGCCCTGGTAAGGACGAACGGAAGAGAGAAAGAGAGAGAGAGAGAGAGAGGGAGAGAGAGAAAAGAAGAAAGAGAAGGGCACGCGTGTATATCCTCGGCGTCTTAAGCGAGAGCCTCTGGCTGGCTCCGCAATCAGACGCGATAAAGCAAAGAGAAGGAAACGTGGCTACCACTTTTTACCTGCACGCGAGAGACGATGTACTCTCTCAACTCGTAAACCGCCAAGTACGAAGAGAGAGAGAGAGAGAGAGAGGGGGGAGGGACGAAGAGAGAGAGAAAGAACATCGATTTTCTACCGTGAGCATGCGAAACGACACGATGAACGTGAGAGAAGGGCTAAAAGGGAAGGAACACTCTACGGAAAAGAAGAAGAAGAAGAAGAAAAAGAAGAGGAGAAAGAGGAGGAGGAAGAAGAAGAAGAAGAAGAAGAAGAAGAAGGGCAGTTGAACGCACGGTTGTAAGAAGATATATAAAGTGGCGCACGAATTGAAATTCTTCACCGACGGTACTTTATACTCCGAACGAAAATCGTGAGTCGCCTAAGTACGAGACTTCAAACTTCTTCTTCTTCTTCTTCTTCTTCTTCTTCTTCTTCTTCTTTTATTTCTTCTTTTTCTTCCTTTTTATTTCTTTTTTATTTTCTCCTTTTCTCTCTCTCTCTCTCTCTCTCTCTCTCTCTCTCTCTCTCTTCTTTCTCTCATTCCTCTTTTTCAAAGAAAAATAAGAAAAGAAAACAAAAATGAAGAAGAAGATCGTCTTCGTCTTCAATGCCAAGATTCTTCTTTGGTGTAAACTGCTACCTTCGCAAAACTCCATTTTATTATATTATTATTGAATGGTAAGCGCTTGTTATTCGCTTTCCAAAAAGTTAATTCATGCGTGCACAGTCTTTCACCTTCTCGTTTACAAAGGACTCATGGAAACTTTTTCATCGCGCGTTTTGATGTGATTGGGAAGAAAAAAAAAAAATAAGAAAGAAAAAGAAAGGAAAAAGATAAAAAAAGAGAAGAAAAACGATAATTTTATTGTTAATTTTTTGGATAGCAACCAGTCACGCTAAGATCGTTTGATGAAGCCGACCGTGAAGTTTTTACGTAAGAATAGAAAACCATCGTAGATGCATTTGGGATTTTATCGAAACATATCTCTCTCTCTCTCTCTCTCTCTCTCTCTCTCTCTCTCTCTGGCATTAATATCCATAATGGATATTATTCATATGACTCGTGTTCGTATGTAATTTTCTATGTTAAAAAACGTAAAAGAATATTTGAAACTATTAATAAATAAAAACGTCCTGAATAGGAATGATATAAATAAAATTAAAATCAATGATTTTCTTGATTTCGTCTTTCATTTAATTAAAATTTTACGATTTACGATAATAATCAAATACCTTTTGATAATTTCGACGATCTCGAGACGTTTTCCTTTTCTTTTCTTTTTCTTTTTTTTTTTTTTTGTTTAATAATTCTTACGAACAACAAATATGTCGATCTATTGTTGAACTTGAATCTTATTAATTTTTAATTTATTAATTCTCGATCAAGGCGAAACATATCTTCTTACGTGACGTAATTTTTATCGATATATTTTACTTTTTTCTTTTTTTCTTCTTTTTTTAACAATAATTCCTATGAGAACTCTTGAAATATTGAACTTTAATTTGACATTGTTAAAATACTCACGTATCGTACATTTATTTTTTTTTTCGGTAAAGAGGAAAAAAAGAAAAAAAAATTAATATATATATATATATATGAAGAAAGAGAGGGAAAAAAAACGAGAAGGTTCGAATGTCAAGGAGACAGACGTCGTCGTCCTCATAGACGGCGACGTCAGAGGTTCCATTGACGCCGATGTGGCGTCAAGAGGAGCCGTTGTAAAACGACTCGTAAACATTCGCACGCTTTCGGCCGCTTCATAAGCCATATATGTATTATGTACATTCCGGACTTGCGATAGGATATAATACCACTTCCCTTCCATGACCCTCCTTTACCCCCCACCCCTGCCCCTTTTTCCATCTCTTTCATCATCGCAAAGTACGATAAGAACTCACAAGGATAAGAACGTCGAATGCTCACGGTGACATCACTAATTATTGTTTTCCTTCCTGGTATTCTACGAGAGCTTGTCCGTGTTGTCTGTTCGTCCTCCTCCTGAAAAGTTACTTGAGAACTGTGAGACCCTTCATTGATAATAATATCGTTCGAAACGAAATCTTTTTAACATTTAAATTCAGATAATAATAAAGAAAGAGAGAGAGAGAGAGAGAGAGAGAGAGAGATAGAGAGAGAGAGCAAGAGAGAGAATGTATTAATAAGCATTTTATGCAATGATTTATTTTTTAATTTTCTATGGCTCGATGTAATCTTTTTCTTTTTTATTATCACAAAATTTATCGTTTCTTCGTATCCAAATTTTCTCATTTTTTTTTTTTTTTTTTTTTTTTTTTTTTTTGTTAAATATAACTTATACTTGATACAGTATAATTATTATTACGATATAGTTATGATATTTATAACATAGCTATGATTAATATAATACGATTATATCGGTAAAAGGACTGATTTCACGTGATATGATCATGTGATGTAGATACGAAAACAAAATTGATATTCAATGAACATTGTTAATTTAGACGTGAATGAATTGAAAAATTATATTCGGTAATTATTTTCGGTATGATGAAAAAAAAAAAAGAAAAAAAAAAGAGAATATCTCTAAAAGATAAAAATTTCGGAAAAGAATTGAAGAGAAAAAATACAGAGAGAGAGAGAGAGAGAAAGAGAGAGAGAGAGAGAGAGAGCGAGAGAGAAGGAAAAAGAAAGAAAGAGAATGACGAAAGGATCCACTTTAATCGCGTCAAGTAAAGACTACGTGGATAACCATTGGGAGAAACTTCTAAGTATCCGCCGAACAGCGACGGAGAATAAGATAATCTTAATGGAGGAGCCACGTCCGGCCTAAGATTCTCTCTTATCTCGCGCGAGAAAAATGCTCGAAAGGTCGTGAGTGAAAAGAAGAGAACGAAGAAAGAAAGGAACTCCTTTTGGTTTTCGTCGAGTGTCATTATAAAATGACATTATCTATCCACATACGTATCGTTGAATTAAAATAATCGCATATTAACATAATTTAGAATTTCAAAGAGGCAAAAAAAAAAAAAAAAAAAAAAAGAATAAAAAGATAGATAAATACAACAGATAAATAAGTATCTACGTACATTATTATTACGCATATTGATTGACTTTCATCGTAAATTTACGATCGTATTCTCATCGTACTCGATGAAGTATCGAATGAGATTCTCATTTCGCGAAAAAATGTATATCTCGACGATACACGATCGATAATAACGTAGGATAATTCGTTCGATATGGTCGTTAATACTAAGATTATATGAAGCCCTTATAAGAAATTTAAATAAATAAATAAATAAATAAAATAAATAAGAAAAAGAGAAAAAAAAGAAGAAGAAGAAGAAGAAGAAGAAAAAAAAAGAAAATATTTTTTCATAATTCGTTCGAAATCATTCGTCTATTGTCGATCATCGTCACGTTACGAGGAGAATAATAATATTTATATTATCTGGAACAATATATCTCGATACACATACATAAACGCGTTACACACGCACATACGCGCGCGTTTGTACATATTCTCATATTCTGCTTACAATTAGACATCATAAAATAAAAACTCTTTTCGATTATTCATCTTCGTAGGAAGAAGAAAGTTATAATGCTAATTCAGCGTATCAAGGGGAAACATTAACATACCTATATACACATATTCCGTATCAATGCCTTCAGGATATGCAGTCGCAATGAAATTCTAATCGATTTGGAGTATACAACTTATCTAGCCAAGACGGAGACGCGCGAGCTCTTGTTACCGTCTTGCTCGCCGATATTTTGCAAACAAAATCGACACGCGCCGCTGGCAGTTAACTATATCCCGCAAAACGAGTAATTCGAGTCGGCTTCGTTCTTTAAACGAAGTTCGTTCGTTATCGCGAACAACGAGCGATTTCCTGGAGAACGGGAAGAGAAAGAAATGGAAATGACTTACAACATCGATATAGGGTAAGTACTTATATATACCTACCTATGTAAGTTAAACGTATAGCATAAAGTTAATGAAAAAAGAAAAAAGAAAAAAAAAAAGAAAGACCACGACAGGGTGAAGAAAAGAAGAAAAAAAAAAAAAGAAACTTCGCGTAACCAATCATGTCGTATTTATTCGTCCGAAATAAAAATTCAATCCAGAAAATTCACATCGGCGAGCAATCGATTAGAAAATTATATCTTTCGAAAAATACTAGAAACGTGTACATCATTTATTTCCAATTATCAAGCCATTTTCGTGACATAATTAATTTCTATACGAATTAAAAGGATTACGTAAAACGTAACGCCATATCAACGCTCTACATATCTTTAAGCAAATACATTTATTTATATAATAATAATAATAATAATAATTTTTTCAAAATCTTGAATAAGTAAAATAAGTATCATTGTGGACAGTTGCTATGTAAAGAAAAGGATACATTAACGATTGTAAAATTTCTACATTTTCCGATACATGGTATTTTCTTGAACTTATAAAAAAGAAAAAGAAAGTAATTAATTAACAGAAAAATTCTCTCTCTCTCTCTCTCTCTCTCTCAATATTTTTCTCTTTCAAGTGTCCAACAAATTTGCATAATACAACGAAGTACCTTATGTTAATCATTTTTCACGAACAATTTCGCGAAAGGTTTAATTAACGGCTGTTAAATTTCATCTTTTTACGTCGGAGTATTCGATTCTTTTTTAAACTTACGACGGAAAAAAGGAGAGAGAGAGAGAGAGAGAGAGAGAGAGAGAGAGAGAGAGAGAGAAAGAGAGAGAAATAAAAAGAAATTAATTAACAGAATAATTCTCTCTCGAGTTCTAAACGAAATAGATGGAAATAAGGAAATGTGAAAAGAAAATTGCGATTGGTCTTAAGCCGAAAGGAATAGGAAAAGAATGAAGGAGGAGGAGAAGGAGGAGGAGGAAGAGGAGATAATGTTGATATCTTCGGAGATGAAAGGACGCGTTTCGTTGGTAGCGCCAAGAGACCTTCTATCCCAGAAAGTGCCTTCTGCCACGGACACGGAGGGTTCGAAGTTGGGTGAGGGTAAGAAGCATACAAGGGGGGAATGCCAAGAAGAGCCGGGAGCAATCGAGTCAGTTCGCGTAGGGACTCGAAGCCGCGCGCCCGCATTTTCTTTCTCACTCTGTCTGTTTGTATCTCTCTATTTCTCTCTTTCTCTCTCTCTCTCTCCTTTTCTTTTCTCTCTCTCTCTCTCTCTCTCTCTCTCTCTCTCTGTCTGTCTCTCTCATATACACAAGCAGACGCACGCATACCCTCTCCTTAAGTCATCCTTCCTCAATTTTTACTTTGGTTTTGGTTTTATTTTTTGTTTCTTTTTTTTTTTGTTTGTTTTTTTTTTTTTTTTTTTTTTTTTTTTTTTTTTTTTTTTTTTTTTTTTTTTCTTTTATTTTCATCGTTTCCTTCATACACGTACATAAGTAAGTAAATAAATAAATAAGTAAATAAGTAAGTACGTATAACTTTATTATATACGATATATACAAGGACAGAAAGTTATTGTCATAAATAAAACGTGTTCCATTAGAATATCATTCTCACGAAAGATTTCGAAATTGACGCAAGCCTATCCACCGATGAGATTGACAATTTTTAAGGATAAGAAGAAATCGTGCAATGATGTCGTACGATTGCCCCCATCCGGTTTCAAGGACTTATCAATACAAAAAGGTAAGAAATAAGTGCGTATTTTTGCTTTCTTTCTTATTTCTTTTTTTCCCCCCTTTTCTTTTCTTTTCATTCGTTTAAATTTTCATTCCCTTTGGCGAATAAGACGACGGAATATAATACTTTTTGTTTTTAATTGAGAAAATTTGCAATGGCTTTGTATGAAACGAAACGAAACGAAAATGTAACGCTTTAAATGCTTACGTTCATTGAATTAAATTGATCGATCGAAAATGAAATCGATCGATCGATCGATCGAAAATGTAAGAATATGTATCAAGGATATTTTATTGATTATTTATTTCTTGGAAATAATGATTAAGAATGAAGAGATCGTTCGAAGAAAGAAATCTAATCGGACGTGTAGAAAATCGGTCGTTATGTGCGATAGGACACGTCGCTCGCTCGTGACTACTCGTACGCGCTCAACTCTGAAAGAGAAAAATGAAAGAGGATAGTGTAAATGATGAATGAAACACGCGTCGAACGATGCGTTTATCGTTATACACGGTGTTCAATAGAAACTATCTATAGAAAAACGTATTTGAAATGACGAAACGAATTATCACTCGTATGTTTCTCTCTGTATGATTAGAAAAAAAAAGAAAAAAGAGAATAGAAAGAAAAAGAAAAAAAAGAAAAATAAAATAAATAAATAAATAATTAAATAAATAAAAAAAATAAATATAAATATCTCTCTATTCTTTGCAGATAACGAAACCGCTCTTAGAACGAAAGAGACGAGCACGTATCAATCGATGTCTCGACGAATTGAAGGATCTCATGGTGGACGCATTCGAAGTGAGTACGATTGTTTATTATATATAAAACGTTTATTATATATAAAAAGAAAAAAAAAATATATATATATAAAATAATCTATCATCGCGTGAGAATCAAAGTTGTATTATTAGTTAAGTTAAAAGGATATAGATATATAGCGAAAAAAAACGAAAGCCCTGTAAAGACGTTCAAATTTATACAGATATTCTTTAGAAACTCGATCGATTTCTCTATTAGTCACAGTCGAAAAACGATATATCGAGTGTCGATTAAATGTCGTTATCTTCGTTCATGCATGACAGATCGATTAGAAAACTAATTCTAATCGGGAAGATATAATAATTTAGTAGAAGATATAACAATATATTAAATATATATTTTATTATTCTTTTTTTCTCTTCTCTTTTATTTTATAGAAATTATTATTTATTTATCTATATTATTATTATTATTAGACCTGTATATATATATATATATATATAAAAATTATTATTTATTTTTCTAAAATTATTTATCTATTCTTTCTAAAATAATAAAACGCGTTAAATGGGCACATCCAATCGATATACGTAATTCGATAAAATAGTTTGGTCCAGATAGCACGTGTTCTTTATTTTTTTCTTTTTTTTTTTTTACGAAAAGAAAGGCGCGCTGTTTTTTCTTTTCTTTTTTTTTTGTATTTTTTTTTTTTTTTCTTTTCTTTTTTAAACCTCGCACGACTCTATTTACGATCTCCGTTCTGCAATTTTACGGATCGCGCGCTCGCGGCAGGAAACGCATTCTCCGGCCGCAACTACGCGTGGCAAAACTATTTTCCTCCTCTTAAATATATTCCAAGCATCGTGGGAACTCGCTGAAATGTCAACGGCATTACCGACACGGCAACTTTATTAATTATTCGAATAAATTTATACCGATTACTTCGTACCTGACATGTTTCTGACTATTTTTATTCCATTTTTTTCTTTCTTCTTGTTTCTTCTTTTTCTTTTTCTCTCTTTCCTTCTTTCTTCCTTTCCTTCTTTCTTTCTTTTTTCCTTTCTATGCATACCTATATTCAAACTTATGCAATTCCAATCGCCAACGCGTATTTCGACAGATTATTCGTCGAATTATTTCGCATAATTAACAGTTAGACGACTAACCGTAAAGTCAAGTATTTTAATAGCATTGATAACGAGCAAAAATCGTTCTATCGATTAGGTCGAAAAATTTCATTGAAAGAAAGTAGGAAATAATTTTTCATCGACGTTATCTCAATTATTTCTTTTTTCCTTCTTCTTCTTTTTTTTTCTTTTCTTTTTTTTCTTTTTTTTTTTTCGTAACTATAATAAACAGTACATAGACATTGGAAAGATAATAAAATTCGAAGAAACGAAGCCTATCGCGTTTCGCTTTGAACGGAAGAACGAAAAACTCTACGTCGACTTTGGATTTAAATTCGTCTCGGTAATCGAACCGATCTTTTGCTCGTCGTTCTATAAACCAACAAAAGGACGGACCGTGTCCGTCGGGAAAAGAAAAGGATTTCTTTCGTGGCTCGGTCATGCACGATTCTTGATCGGAAAAGGGATCGATCCTCGACAGCGATCGCTCGCTATCGAAGAGTTAGCTCGTGCGAGCGAATCGAATCGAGGAAGAACGAAAGGAGTAACGCGCGCTCAGACGACGATCCTTAGATATTTATTTTTTTATCTATATTTTTTTTATATATATTTTTTATATTATAGATATTTATTTATATATATATATATATATATATGTATAAAAGAAAAAAAAAAATAAATGGAATGAGTACAAAGATGACGCTGCAAATTGTTATATATATCGTTAATACGTGATACATGAGATTCATTTATTAAAACTTATTTGTAACTTAAACACTTAAAATTAATCATATTGAACGTTAATCAACGTTATCTAATTTCCCTATATTCGTTTGTTAATATCGTTGATTTTAAAAAAGGTGGAGAAGAAAAAGGAAAGAAAAAAGAGAAAAGAAAAAGCAAGAAAAAATGAAAACATTTGAATATATTTCTTCTAGACGGAAGGTGAAAATATCAGTAAATTAGAAAAGGCGGACATTCTCGAATTGACGGTACGTCATTTGCAAAGATTACAAGCTTCTCGTTCCGCCGGTTTGTCTGGTTTCTCAACTACGACAATATCAACAATACCAATACCACCGACGGCAGCAACATCGACGACAATAAAGATGACGACGATGGTTAATGACGAAGCTGCCGCTGAAAGTCGATGGCAATCGGGCTTTGGACATTGCGCCACCGAAGCGTGTAGATTCTTGGCGACACTTCCTGGCAAAGCGGCGGAGAATTTGGCCAGGCATTTGGCCGTTGGTCTTCAAAATAATTCCAAGATTAATTCATTGAATGTGAGTTGTTTATTAATTTTTTACGTACGATCGTATAACTTGTTTCCTGGATATAAAAGGACAAAAAGAAAGAAAGAAAGAAAGAAAAAAGAGAAGAAAACAAAAAACAGAAAAAGAAAATAACAAAGTTTTCTCTTTCGATTTTCTTTTTCTTATTTTTCTTTTTTCTTTTTTTTTTTTGTTATGTTTTAGATCAATCCTAATACCTCGACGACACTGATCGATCTGGATCCTGGCACTTTGATCGATCCTTGTTTGATCAATTCAATTCCTTCAACGGACACTAATAACATAATTGTACCGAATATCGCAATATCTTCTAACAAAACGAGTCCTCGTGTAGATGTGAAAAAGGGAACATTTGAAAATACGTCAACGGTAATAGAAACAATGACGGGGTCATCAGAAAATAATGTAAGATTTAACGACGACGATCGAACAAAATTGACATTTGACATTAAAGAAATTCGACGAAATTCTATGGCCAAACATAAAATTACGAATCATCAAAGAATTAACACGGAGGACGATGAGGTAATCGATGTCGAACGTGTGGACGATGGTGATCCTATGTGGAGACCATGGTAGCGAGAAATCTTTTTAATTTCAATCCTATTATACAGTGTGTGTGTGTGTGTGTGTGTGTGTGTATGAGAGAGAGAGAGAGAGAGAGAGAGAGAAAACAACGAAAAACACAATCTTTTTTATATTTCCAAGTTAAATCTATTAACAGCTGATCGAGACATTAAAGAAGAATTATTTTTTTGCGAGATAAGATTATTCAGAGAATCTTCGTTGATTTATATAATATTATTTATCTACGGTTAATGAATCGAATTAGTTATGTTATTTGTAAACAAGAAATCATTCGATATAAAATAGATTTATATAAATAGGATTATAGTATATTGCACATTATTTTGGTACATGGCTTTAATTCCATAGTTATATAATACTTTATTATACTTTTCATTTTAATAATTTGCTATATCTTTAATTTTTACGATACAATTTAAATTAATCGTACTTCGTATGTCAATGAAAAATTACAAAATATTATCTCTAATTATTTGTAAAACGATATTATATAATGATAATTCAATGATAAATTATATTTTGATTATTCGTATAGAATAGATTTGAACGTTTCATCGTAGCATCGAATTAATAATTTATTTGAGAGATATATCGTCGTACACTTTTTTAGATCGAACATCTTTTTTTTTTGTTTTCCATTTTTTTTTTCTCTCTTTTTCTTCATTTTATTTTTCTTTCTGAAAATAAAGCCTATCGTTTGCGCGACAAAACATATCACTCGGTATAGATATTTATTACGAGTTTTCATATAAATATTAATGCATTATGTGTGATTAATCTGTGATAGCAGAAAGAAAATACAATTATACGCAACTTTATTTTATACTATTATTACATTTCTCGATATTTTAATAAATATATTTTATGCTTTCACGACGTATCATTATTCTTACTTTAAGCCATTTCTTATTTAGGCCAGTAATGAATGCAGATGCATAATCCTTTATAGTTTTTGGCGAACAAAGTTTATTTTTAAAAAGGATAATTCGAAAGTGTAAACAAACATTTTCTATGCTTGATTTTAGAATTATAGATTTTATATTACATTTAAGAATTAAGGGACTATTGTAATTTTGTACTATTAACGTTTATTATAGAATACTTGGGATTAGGGATTAGGATTTTTGACGAAGTAAAAAAGAACCTTTATGCCGAAAAGGCCCTCAACTAATAGGCTATTAAGTCATTTTCGAAGATTCACTAAAACCTTTTGGAGTTTTAGTTATATTTCAACTTGTAACTTTTATAATGATGGATGTAAGAATAAATTAGAACAACTTAGACAACTTAACATTCCGTCTCATAGATACATAATAATTTTCATATTTTATGCAAGTCGGCTCATAAATTTCTAACTATTATTTTTTTTTTTCTAAACCTCAATAAAATTCATAATTTCAATCCTATAGAATAAATTTCTAAAACGAGCGCACAAAAAAGTATATATTATATATAGTCATTTTCAAAATAATCTTTCAGCCATTAACAGGTAATATAAAACTATAAAGAATTGTTTACATTTAATTTTCTTTAATCACTTTTTTCCAAATATGATTATTGATTTCGAGTAAAGTCATAATTACATAAGCTTATACACCGATGCACAATGGGCGCATGGTGAGGACAGTGTTTCCCTATTGCACATGTAGTTCATTTTTTGTCCATATCCGTCGCTGTAGTTACATACGCTACGAACGAAAGTTGGTAAATAATTTTAATCGAATGATAAATAAAACTAATGTTTTATCGACGGATGTTAGAAAGAAAATTTTTATAACCTGATGTCGGTACATACGAATTAACTGTAAATTGTGATGTGATCCGTCGGTAAAACAGAAGCAAAACGTAATAGAACGTTTTATTCATATAATACGCATGTGCAGAAGTCACGTGGTCCGATTTAGAAGCTGCTTGAAGCGGCTGCTTGAGTCTTCTGGCACAGGATTGGCGATAACGTCTTCTTCTTATAAACAAATAACATTTTTGAAGTTTTACAATAAAAAAAAAATTAATATTCATTAGTGGATAGAATTAGTGTTAAGTTCTCGTTTTTTTTTAGGTAACAACGATATATATATTACATTACCTTCAGGAATTTTAATGAAAATATTGTGCCTCTTAAGGAACAGAATATTACCAAATCTGTCGAAACAAATTATTAACCTTTGTCAACAATTATAATTTATTTTATTTTATATTTAATTATATTATATTATATATACAACATATAACATAATTAATTGTGAAATACTTGTTTGGTTATCGTATTCAAATGTCTTTTGAAAGTTGAAATTTTTTTTTTAGGTTATACATATACATATATATATATATATATACATATATATATATATATGTATATATATATATATATAAAAGATTAAGGCACATTTATCATCAAATCAGTGACGAGTTTTTTTACTTTACATTCACAATTATTGATTTTTATGATATACCTTAATCCTCGGTACTCAAAAGCTGATTAAAGGTAATTTATCTTGACACTTTGACAATATCATTAAGTGAATATTGTAGATTGTTATTATTTAAAAATGGAAATATGTAGCTCCGATGCCTAGTGTCAAAGATGAATCAGAGCCAGAAGGAGAAGAAATGTCTCATGATAGCAACGATAGTAATCAAAGCTCTGCGTCTTGTGATAGTAGTGCAGAACATAGTGATAGCGATGATTCTTCAGAGATGGATGAAGATGAATGTGAAAGAAGACGAAACGAGTGTATGGAGAATTTAGTTGATTTAGAAAGACAATTTACGTTACTTAAAGAACAGTAAGCATAAATGATAAATCAAAGTAAACTATAATATTTGATATAGTAAAAGAAAATATTTTACAATTATGTTTTCATATATGATGATGAATATTAATTATAATATTTTTAATTCCTATAGATTGTATCGCGAAAGAATAACGCAAGTTGATACCAAACTAGGAGAAGTAAGAGTTGGTAAATCGGAAGAATATTTAATACCTTTGGAACGTTTAAAAGAAAATATGAAGACCAAAACTGAAGTAGCTGGAATATTGAAACAATACAGATTACAGAATATACAAAATAAATTTTTAGCTGAAGAACAGGCAGCTTTACAAAATTTTGAGAGTGAAAAAGAATTGATTTGGGACTGTATACATAATGATCTTCAAGAGAAAATTCGTAGATTGGAAGAGGATAGAAATAATGTTGATATTCATGCAGATTTATGGTTAAATTCAACCGGTAGAAGACGTAGAAATCATACAGAGAGAAGGAGAGCAGTTTCTGTAGCAGGACCGTATATCGTTTATATGCTTAATGATGCTGATATTTTAGAAGATTGGGCCTTGATAAAAAAGAGTCTGAGTAGTCGAAAAACTGAAATAATTTAAGACACAAAGGTTATAAATTTAACATGTCAATATGTGGACATACATGAATGTGTAGTGTCATATCACAAAATTAACAAATCTTTTTCTTTTAAAGTTAACTGTGGCAACAGTCACTTCTCATGCACTTCATCATTTTGAGTTTCCACATTTATGATACTGTGCCTTTAAGTGCAATGAACTAAACGAGCATTAAGAACTCCTTTGCATTGTGAAAAACTGTTATGCACAATGAGTGGTTAAGGTGTAAATCTAATATAAAAATCTTTAAACTGTAATAATGCTTATGCTTTTCGAAAAGAAGCATACGAATTCAAAGGATTTTACCAATATCGCGTCTAAATTTTATATTGTAAAATAATAAAGACATTTAAACTAATTAATTATAACGATAACAGTAAACAAATTTTAAATAACAACATAAATAATGTAAATAAATCACGTTCTTTCATTGATTAATAATAAATTTAACTTCATAGAAGATAACGTACAAAGATTAAATATATAATTTCTTTTTTTTTTTTTTTTTTTTTCTTTTTTTTTCTTTTTTTTTTTTTTCATATACATACTAACAGTTTTATTCTCTATAATGATACTATAATATTCTACATGGTATTGAAGACAGCTTGTATCATTTTATATACAAATACTTCATATTTTGCAATAAAAGTTAATTGCATAAATATTGCATTCTGATATTTTATAACATCAGTCAACTTTGGAAAAGTGTTCCTAGAATCTAAATTTAATTCCTTGCTGTATTACTAGATGACGCCAGATTTCATTTGAAACATATCTAACCATATCTACCTTATCCAACTTGCGTTGAAATGGTGCGAGCAACGTGGACTTGAATTAAAAAAAAAAATCAATGTTTCTTTGTGTGTAAATTTAGTATTACAAGAAAAAAAAGGTACATAAAATATATTTATATATAAATAACTTTTATTGTATTAACGTTAAGCTGTGTAAACAGAAAAATCTGACTTTATTTCGATATCTAGATTGGTGTATGAATTTATTTAAGGTTATGATCGTAATAACCTTTCGATCAAAAAGAAATTGTCATTAGCATAGATATTAGATATATATATATATATATAAGTAATTAAAAATTGTGAAATAATGTATATTAATTTGAGTCTTAATTATTACAGATGGTTTCGAAGACTGAGCAAATATCTGCATTTGCTGCATATGCAATGAAACGTAAAAATGCAGATCCATCGTTGCAGTCACAAAAATTACAAAAGAAGACACACTCAAATGTGAAAGAAAAAAATTTGGTTCGAATTGCCAATAAACAAAAAGAAATGTTATCATTGCCTAACCATGGGACTATTAATAAAAATCATAAAAAATCTTCTTCATCAAAAACTCATAGTCCTACAATTAAAAAGAATATTAATACCAATGAATCGAATAGTTTGATAATATCAAAATATAAAAAGTCTAAGTGTAATAAAAATAAGAAAAAGAAGAAGAAAAAGTTATTATCAGCCAATGATTTCTTTAGCAATGACACGACAATGACCAATTTGGAAAATTCTTCTTCTGTTTCGGACAGTATTAATTTACAAATGAATCAATTGAGAGAGGAAGGATCGAAGATAAATAAAAAGGAAAAGAAAGTGAAGAGAAAGAAAAAATTGCCACCGACAAAAAATAATAGCAGTATTAATTATGATGTGGTACATGATAATTTTTTAAAAGATCCCGTAATAAAAAGTAAATTGTTGTTTGAATGGTTGATACACCCTTTAAAAATTGATAATTTTTTTGAGTAAGTATTAGGGAAACAAAAAAAATTGTTCAATAATATTTATAGACTTATACGTATAGAACGTATTTAAAGAATTATTTATTTCAGGTCGAATTGGGAAAAAACTCCTGTGCATATAAAGAGAAATAATTGTAATTATTACAAGGTTCTCATGTCAACACCAATACTTGATAAAATATTAAGAGAACATTATATATTATTTACAAAGAATATCGATATTACATCATACTTCAATGGTACAAGAGAAACTCATAATCCTTCTGGTCGTGCTGTTCCTACTGTTGTTTGGGATTATTATTTAAATGGTTGTTCGGTAAGAATGTTAAATCCTCAAACTTTTTTACCTAGGCTCCATACATTAAATGGTAAGAAAAAAAAAAAATTTGATTAATTTAATTGTCAGACATAAATGCTATTTTATATACATATATGAATGAATATAAATGAACTTTATACAGCGACTCTTCAAGAATATTTTGGATGTTTTGTTGGTGCAAATTCTTATTTGACACCACCTGATAGCCAAGGTTTTGCGCCGCACTATGATGACATAGAAGCTTTCATATTGCAAATTGAAGGAAAGAAAAGATGGAGGCTATATAAATCATCAAAAATAAGCGACTATTTGCCGAGATACTCGTCGAAAGATTTTGATCAGTCAGAACTAGGAAAGCCTATTTTAGATACGGTAGTAGAAGCGGGAGATCTTTTGTATCTTCCACGTGGAACGATACATCAAGGAGAAACGATTGATAACAGTCATAGTTTGCACGTTACTTTGAGTGTTTATCAAAAAAATAGTTGGGGTGATTTCTTAGAAAAATTGCTTCCAGATGCACTGGAAAAAGCAATTGCGAATGATAGTCATTTTCGTGAAGGATTGCCTCTTGATTATTTAAAATATCTTGGTTTTGTACATTCTAAAAATAAATCTAATTATAGAAAGTCCTTCAGAGAAAATATCAAATATTTACTTAATCGTATTGTAGAACATATCGATATAGACAAAGCAGCTGACGAAATGGCAATAAATCATATTCATGATTTCTTGCCACCTGTCCTTGTAGATTATGAACGACAATGTTCTATAGCCCAAGATGGAGAAAGAATGACAAAGGAAGGAATCGTAGAAAATCGAGTGGAAATTGAGCCCGATACGAAAATACGATTATTAAGATCTCATTGTATAAGGTAATATGAATTCTAATTAATCTTTAATGCTAATTAATATTCTATTACACGCTCGTTGATATATCTTTTATTTTATGCGATTAGATTGGTACAAGAATCAGACACATATAGGATATATTATTCTTGTGAAAATTCCAAGGAATATCACGAATACGAACCACAATTTTTAGAAGTTGGAGAAGAATTTGTGCCCGCTATAAAAGAAATAATATATCGTTTTCCCAAATTTATAAGAGTTGAAGAATTACCAATTACTGGGGAAGATAATAAAGTAAGTTTAAAAAAAGGAAAAAAAAATAATTTATATCATATTACATATAATATAATAATTCATAATAATATTTGTAACACGCAGATTCAAATAGTAAGAGATCTTTGGGAGAAAGGTATTTTAATAACGAAAGATCCCTTATACATATTGGAATGAGCATACAAGTAATAAGTAAATCATTTTATGTGGAGAATCTCGATTTTGTTCTTCTTTCCTTTTTTTTTTTTTTTTTTTTTTTTTTTTTTATTAACGTTTATCTTACAATTAGACGTCAATCCCATGTTTTATCCTTTATTTTTATCATCGAGAACGATCAAAGTCATATATAAAAATTATACATTTAAATATTTAATTATGCAACTGGCACAGTTATAAATACAAAAATTGTCTAACTAAAAATATTTTAATATTATCTACGGAATATAATATTTCTGATGATAGTGTTTAAAGTCATATTCAATGTTATAAAAGAGATACGTGTGAATCGTCGATTTTAAAGAATATTTATATTTACGAATGAGCATGGTCGTCCTTTTATTTTTTAATATTATTTCTACCAATTCTTTTTGCTTGCGTAATATGATCCTTTCGCCTTCCCAAAACAAATTCAACGTATCCTAAATAACCATCATTATCCAAATCATCTTCTTCCAATACTCTGTCTATAAAACCTTATAATATAAAAAATATAATTTTATAGAGTTAAGAATAATCATTGTAAAAATCGTGATCTAAATCTATCCTTTTTTTTTTTCTTTTACCTACGATCCGTGGCAATTCGTCTTCTTGTATTTGTGGCTCATCATCCACAAAACTTCTACCATCTTCATCGACCACATTATGTTCGTGAAATGTATGTTGAATGGCATGAAGAATTTCAAGGCCATCTAATTTTGTATTATTATCGATATCGTGCACTCTACAATTAAAATATACTAATCTAAGTTCTCTACGAATTGTATAACGATACTTCATTCGAAATAATCCGAAAAATCATACTTGAAGTAATGGAATTCAATCTCCTGTTCGCTCATTTTCGAAAAATCAAGCTGGGACGCTATCGGTCCCATGTCTTCCTTCAAGTGACTAAAAACGATAAAACTTTTAAACATGTTTCGTGAAAGATAAAAGATATCATTCGTATTATTATAACAAATATTTATGAAAAACTAACGTGGCATCGTGAAGCAATTCGGTATCTTGCGTCAATTTAACACCTTTATGAGGCGAGTAATGATGATGAGAAACGGAGCTTCTTGGATGATGTGGACCACGTAATCCAACCGCAGAAGCGATACATAGACCGAGGAAAAATGCTAACACCATTTGTCAGTCTGAAACACTTGAACGAAAGTGAAACATCAGCGGATCAAGAGAACCAGTAAAGTCATTCGTTAAAGAAACATCTAGAGATTCGCTTAAGCATCATTTTGATTAGATCAGCAGTTTGGATAGGTACGATCAATTTCTATCATCGTTTCTTTCCTAATGTTCATTGATCAGCAAAAGTTCATAAGAACCAAGGGGTGTAGGATCGACATTGGTCGACATTCCGATTACGTCCAGACGACAATAGGACCTGCTGGGTGGGTCACGTTCATCGGACATGTTGCCCTAGAAGCATCTACTATTCGTTCTTGAAGGGGTCGAATACCCCCTTGGCTAGCGACAGATGGACAGTAGAGGGGGTCCCGATAATTATTATGCGATTACCCACAAGCCCATTGATTTAGTTTGAACCCCCCCCAGGGAATATGGTACTTGTACTCTGCTCTTATCATAAGTTACAATTAAACTTGATATTTTTTATTTCGACGAAATTTTATTCATATTGAAATAGAACGACAACCGATCGAAAGAAAAATATTATCTTAAGTCTATCATATTATTAGAATAACTTTAATGCAATAATCCTTGTAAATCATATTTTAGAATTGTCCCGAAATGTAAAATAAAAGAAATATTTACAAATGCATGCACGCTTTGTGAAGAAATCCTCGAATTCATTCGTTTCTCAAATTTCATGCCACCTTATCCGATAGAGCGTAAACCAAATGGGCGTAGGTGTTAAGAGAGACACACGAACGGGCACGAATCTAGGGTATTTAGGAATCAATTTTATAGAGAGCCGACGGTGGTCGAGCGAGAGTACATATGTTGAGGGGGTGCCCCAAGGGGTTTTTCGATGCAAGTGGACCCCCGTGGTTGTTCACTCCCTCTGAAGTACGAACGAAACACGTTCTTACTCCCAACAACCCTCGGCGTTCCAGCCAGCTACGTCGGCCGTACGGGTGTCGAAATCTATAAATAATTTATATCATTTGGTCCATTCATCGAGGCAGCCCATATGTACCTGTGTCGCCTTACAAGGGACCTGTACTAGAACTCGAAATCTTCCTTCCTAGCAAGCATTACAAGCTCGCTATATCTCTAAGCTGTGTCTGATTCGACATTAACAGTGTGTACCTACGAAACATTCGTCGGTATCTCTGCAAGTGTATTTTTTCATTTATCTCATAATCGAAATGTCAACAAGTTGATGTTATCAGAGATGACGGATAATCGTAAAACGAATTGAATTACTTGAAAGAATTAAGAAACCGATAGAGACAACACTTGAATTCAAACTTTAATCGACAGTGAATTTTTTGAACCGGGATATCACTTTCATATAAAGAAAATACATTTTTAAATGACCGGCTGCTATTCCTAACGCTCGAGAACCGTGACTATCGATGTTTTCTGTGAACTCGATCTTCGCATATGGAAGGGTGCCCACCCTCTTGCTTTTCCATCTCTCTTTCTCTCTCTCTCTCTCTCTCTCTCTCTCGTTAAGCTTGATATAACCTACAAAACGAAGCATCCTTCTCAACATCGCCGCCTACGCAAACGCAGAAAAGTCGGACACGGCGAATCAGCTTATCCAAAATTGTCAGAGAAATATCGAAGGATAAGAGTTTACTTTGATATTTACCTGAGACTATTAGTTAATACGACGAGATCGAGATCGCCTGACGCGATCCTTTGACAACAACTTCGATCCACTTTCCCTCGATCTTCTTCCTCTCGTTGACGATACCCTCTAGATTTCAGACTTCTCCTTTGCGATGCCGAAGAGCATGACAC